TCAGTTGCAATTCTTCATCAGTTCAATATTCTGCTAGAGATGTATCAAGTTGGCTACACAAATTGTTTTTCCGCACTGGCCAGGTAAGATGTACACTTTCAATTGACTCTGCAATCTAGTTTATTCAATAAAGATGCAAATATTTAGTTAATCCTACTAAGGCCTTCATCCTAGCAGGGTAAAAGTTGAAAATTTTCTGTGCATGTGGACGGGTTGGCCCACATTGAGTAAAAACAGCTTGAGTTGAGCTGCCTTTTTGCATAACTAAAGTCAGTAGTAGCTTGATGATAAAATAGATATCACACCTTCAAAAATATCCAAATGGATACGTTGCAAAATATTGGTATTTGCTTTGGAAGACCATAGAAAAATATATAAATATCAAAGTAAAAAATCAATGAAAAAGGATATATTCAGGTCTTGAACGTACAGATATATTGCAAATTTCATGGATTGAATTTTGTTTTTTTTTTTCTGATTTTTTAGATAACCAAATAAAAGTTTTAAAATTTTTTAAAAATTGAAGTCAGAATTTAAGAATCAAACATGGTGATAAGTTTTTGTTACAGTATTAAAATTTATAATTTTTTTTGTATTTGATGTTATAGTAGTTAAATTTTTATTTTTGTATTTGATTGAGATGTTTAATTATCCATCTGGGATTTGATGACTAACAAAAAAAATGTTATATTTGATGCTATAGTAGTTAAATTTTCAGAAAAGATTGGTAGCTCGAATCTGTGGCTCGAAAAATGGCTCAAATTTTATATGCACTCACATATCTTTCTACACCTCCATTGTTCATCTCAGTTTACCTTTCACATATCTTTAATGCTATGAAATTGTACTTTGTAGTTCTAATTTAAGCTCATTTACTTGACCATGTTAGTCTCATTTATAGGGGCTGCAATGGTTTTCCATGGGTTTTAATACTTTATTGCAAGCCAGTAATGGAAATTTCAATTTTTCATTTATTTCAGTGACAGGACAAAATATTATTTGTTGGCATCCTTTGTTCTACACATAAAGCATAGTGAGTCCAAGGATTCCACTATAAGCCCAAGAATTTTGCTGTCTGGTCCTGCAGGTGAACAAGACCATCTCCTTGTCCTAGAACATTTTACGATCTCTCTTACTCAAAATAAGTTTGAGTCTATGAGTGGAGAGGTTTTTGAGTGATTTTTACCCAAATTTAAATAAGATATAGGTTTCAGTCAAGGGTTAGAGATGCCATTATATCACTGTGTATTCTATATTTAATTTTCATTTTGAGACTGAATAGTTATTGTTTGTCTTTTATTTGTAAATATTTCAGATTCATCATGATATGACAGCTCATTTATCTCACTATATTTTTGTATATACGGGCCATAATTTGTATCTAACAGGAAATCAACTAAGGAGTGACTGCAGTGATGTCCCGATCATACAAGCATTGCAGAGAGGTGTTAGAGTATTTGAACTGGATATCTAGCCGAGTTCCACAAAAGATAATGTCAATGTTCTTCATGGAAGGTAATGGTGCTAATTTGCAAATGGTAGTCAATTCTAATATGGGAATTTTGAACCCCCCAAGTTATACTTTAGGATTATATCTCTATGTGACTTTGTATATGATGGTATCTAGAACATTTTTTTACAAATGTGCAATTACTAGTATGTGTATACCCAAGGAGTTGAGTTTTTTTTCTTCTTTCTAAGGAAACTCTGGCCAACCTCCCAAGCGTTTAGAAGTTTCTAGGAGCTCAAATGGAGAAGATGATGAAGAATGGTCGCTGATATCTGAAATGCACTCAAGGTATTTGCACAATTAACATTCAATTGCATTTCTTTTGTAGAACATTAAATATTTGAGATTGGTAGAGCCTCTTAAACTAAGTTGTTGGTTATAGTAAAATTTCTGTTGAACTTGCAATTTATGTGGGTAAAGTGACATTTTATTTTTACACGCTTCATGTCATGCTAGAGGTATTTAATGTTAAGACATTTGAAGGGTGTGATCAGTCGGATTTTATCTTTTGTGAGGCTAGAACAATCTCTACAAATAGTTAGTTTATTCATATGCTTCTAGCGATTTCTGAATTAATTTGTGTTTTCATTTTTCAGGTTAGAAATTTCTTAGAGAGATGCAAAATATGGTCAAAGAATTAAAGAATTTAATTTTTCAAGTTTTTTCATTTTTTAATATATGTAAGTACAGTGTAAAACTTTTTATTTAATTCATCTGTATATACTTTTGAACATATTTAACTTTCATTTATGAAATATATGACGTTATTCCATTCAATATGTGATTGTGATTCAAAGTATAGTATATAGTGTGTATTATATTCTTGAAATGCGCGCACAAAAATAATATTGATTATTCTTCAAATATGTCAAATTCTTTTTTTTATCGCAGGTTTTATTAGTTATTAATCACACTTAAAAGATGTGATCTAAATATTATTAATCACACTTAGATGTGATCTAAATGTTTTTAATCACACTCCCAAAGACCACACTTTAATAAAACTTAAAAGGTGTGATTAAAACACATACATCACACAAAAAAGTGTGATCTTTATCTGTATTTGTAGTAGCGAATTCACAATTGAAAGGGGAATCTCCTACCTTAAACCTTGAATTCCAAGTTTAGGAGCTCAAATTTGCAAACTACTTTTCAATTCTTCCAATTCTCCAAGGGATTTTGTTGAAACCAAAGTTTCTCCTATCTCTAGCTCTCTCACCCACGGTTTTGGTCAAGAAATGGATGATAGAATCAAGTCTCCAAAGGTTTCATGAAGTGGCCCACTAATGGCAATAAGGTAATTAACTTGAACTAATGTAATTTAGCTTATTTAATCCAATTTAATTATACCAAATCAAATTTCAACTAAATTTACCATAAAATCACATTAATTCTAATTAACACAAAACACTAATCAGTTTCGGATTCGGCCCTCGATGAGGCCTTCAATTTGCAGTTTAAAACATAAAACATGAATAGATCATTTTATGGCAAACAGATAAAAACACAAAGATAATGCAATACATATGTAATTTAATTTTAGATTCCCTCTAAATTACTATTAGGCATAAATAATCATGGTTTAGTATTAATCGGAGGTCGGAGTTATCACAATCACCATCGGGGAATATCCACAGCAGACCACCAAGCTACGCACTTTTCTTGTTGTCGACCGTCCTTCTGCTTATAACATAATCCTCGGATGCACGGCTCTCAACACTTTCCAAGCTGTCACCTCCACATACCATCTAGCCATAAAATTCCGGATCGACCTCGAAGTTGGTATCATGAGAGGCGAGCAGATGATGGCCAGAGAATGCCACGTCGCCTTACTAAAGGAAGTCAAAATGAAGGAGGCTATGATCATCGAAGGTCTCGACGTCAGAGATGAGGAAGAGTTAGTCAAAGGGGAGCCAGTGGAGGAACTTGTCGAAGTGCCTATCGATCCTATCAATTCAGCTAAAATAGCCAGGATTGGTAGCCACCTGTCTTCTTAGGCCAAGGCTGATCTCACGGCTCTCTTAGTCGAGCACAACGATGTCTTCGCTTAGACCCATTTTGACATGCCAGGTATCGATCCCTCTTTCATCACTCATCGTCTTAGTATTGAGCCCCACTTCCGACCTTTCCGACAGAGGCATCATATTTTTCATCCGGAACGCAATACCCTCATCGCCTCTGAGGTAGACAAACTACTGAAGGCACAGTTCATAAAAAACGTGGACTACCCCAGATGGCTATCCAACGTAGTCTTGGTCTGCAAAAATAATAGTAAATGACGACTTTGCGTTGACCATTCCGACCTTAATCGGGCTTGCCCCAAAGATAGTTATCCCCTTCCCCGGATAGATCTGTTGGTCAACGCAACTGCAGGACATCAGATGCTTAGCTTCATGGATGCTTTCTCCTGCTATAATCAAATCCTGATGCACCTGGTCGACCAGGAGCACACCTCCTTCATCACCGACAAAGGGACTTATCATTATCGTGTTATGCCATTCGGCCTGAAGAATGCCGGAGCAACTTACCACTGCCTGGTTAATGCCATCTTTTAACACCAGATAGGTCAGAACATGGAAGTCTACGTCGATGACATGCTAGTCAAGAGTAAACTCTCCTCCAATCACTTGGCAGACCTGCGAGAGACCTTTGAAATCTTACGCAGATATCAGATGAAGTTGAATCTGGAGAAGTGCGCCTGTGGTGTGGGATCTGGGAAGTTCTTGGGCTTCATGGTTAGCCAATGAGGCGTTGAGGCTAACCCCGAAAAGATCAAGGCCCTGATAGAAATGTGGTCTCCTAGAATAGTCAAGGAGGTTCAATCGCTCACGGATAGAGTTGCCGCCCTCAACCGCTTTATTTCCCGAGCAACGAACAAGTGTCTTCCATTTTTCAAAGTCTTTCGACAGGCATTCGAATGGAGCACCGAAGGGGGCAGAACAGAATTACCCCCTGTTAGAAAAAATGTCCCTTGCATTGGCCATAGCCTTCATACGCCTCCGACCTTATTTCCAAGCTCACTCTATAGTGGTTCTCACTGACCAGCCTCTGAAAAGGGTCATGCAACAACCAGAATTGTTAGGAAGACTTATGCAATGGTCGTCGAGCTAAGTCAATTTGAAATCTCCTACCGACCTCGAACAGCAATCAAAGGCCAAGCTGTCGCTGATTTTATCTTGGAGTTCACCAATCTCACTCTGAACGTACCTCCTTCACCAGCACACTTCACCACTGATGTAGAAGACCCCCACTCCTAGACCCTTAGTGTTGATGGCTTATCCCGTAAAGAGGGTAGTAGAGCCGGTCTAATCCTCACCACCCAAGAGGGTGAGTACTTCAAGTATGCCCTCCGTTTCCTATTCGACGAGAGCAATAATGAGGCCGAGTATGAGGCCTTGATAGCAGGTCTTCAACTGGCCCGAGACATTGGCGTAAGCCATATCTAAGTATTCAGTGATTCCCAAATAATTGTCAGACAGATTACTGGGGAGTTCGATGCAAAGGAGGAAACGATGAGAGCATACAGGGACATTGCCCTTCCTCTTGTCAGCCTTTTCAATACTTTCCAGATTAGACACATCCCTATGTCAAAAAACTCCAAGGCGGACGAAATGGCTCAGCTAGCCTCGGCCAACCAGTCAAACTTCAGTCATGGCATCCGTATTAAATACCTGACCCATCTGGCGACTTCACAAAATCCACAGGAGATCCAATTCCTCCAAAATGAACCTATCCCATGGGCTCAAGATCTCAGTCTATTTTTTATAGGAGGGAAGTTACCGGATGATAAACAGCAGGCCGCTAAAGTCAGAGCCCGATTGTCCAATTATATCCTTATCAGTGGTCTACTATACAAACGGGGATTCTCATGCCCATACCTCAGATGTCTCAGTCCTGCTCAAGCGACCTATACGATGAGAGAAGTACACGAGGGCATTTGTGGTAATCGTTTAGATAGAAGATCTCTAGCTCATAAAATCTTCCACACCGGCTACTTCTGGCCCATACTCAATCAAGATGCCAATGAATTTGTGCTTAAGTGTGATAAATGCCAGTGCTTTGCTAATATCCCCCATTCTCCACCAACGGAACTGATTACACTCAGCAGTCCCTACCTCTTCGCTAAGTGAGGCATTGACTTAGTCGGTCCTTTGCCCACTAGCAAGGGCCAAACCAAGTTCGCTGTGGTTGCCATTGATTACTTCACCAAATTGGTGGAAGTAGAACTCCTTGCTACAATTACTGAGAGAAACACCACCATGTTCATCTGATAGTCGATCGTGTGCCGATTTGGTATCCCCCAAGACATTGTCCCGGGCAATGGAAAACAATTCGACAATGCCAAGTTCAGGAAATTCTGTGAAAAGCTCAACATTAGACCATGTTTCTTTTTCCCAGGCTATCCCCAAGCCAATGGGCAAGTCGAAGTCACCAGTTGCTCCATTCTGAAGATCATCAAGATTCGGCCTGAAGAATGCCGGAGCAACTTACCACTGCCTGGTTAATGCCATCTTTTAACACCAGATAGGTCAGAACATGGAAGTCTACGTCGATGACATGCTAGTCAAGAGTAAACTCTCCTCCAATCACTTGGCAGACCTGCGAGAGACCTTTGAAATCTTACGCAGATATCAGATAAAGCTGAATCTGGAGAAGTGCGCCTGTGGTGTGGGATCTGGGAAGTTCTTGGGCTTCATGGTTAGCCAATGAGGCGTTGAGGCTAACCCCGAAAAGATCAAGGCCCTGATAGAAATGTGGTCTCCTAGAATGGTCAAGGAGGTTCAATCGCTCACGGATAGAGTTGCCGCCCTCAACCGCTTTATTTCCCGAGCAACGGACAAGTGTCTTCCATTTTTCAAAGTCTTTCGACAGGCATTCGAATGGAGCACCGAATCTGAAGAGGCCTTCCAACAACTGAAGCAGTGCATAGCCAACCCTCCCCTCCTCTCTCAAGCGCTGCCAGACAAAACCTTCTTCCTCTACTTAGCTGTGTCAAACACTGCGGTCAGTGCTACCCTCATCCGAGAAGATGGCTCAGTACAACGTCCAATCTATTACATTAGCCGCGCTCTTAGGGGGCAGAACAGAATTACCCCCTGTTAGAAAAAATGTCCCTCGCCTTGGCCATAGCCTTCATACGCCTCTGACCTTATTTCCAAGCTCACTCTATAGTGGTTCTCACTGACCAGCCTCTGAAAAGGGTCATGCAACAACCAGAATTGTTAGGAAGACTTATGCAATGGTCGTCGAGCTAAGTCAATTTGAAATCTCCTACCGACCTCGAACAGCAATCAAAGGCCAAGCTGTCGCTGATTTTATCTTGGAGTTCACCAATCTCACTCTGAACGTACCTCCTTCACCAGCACACTTCACCACTGATGTAGAAGACCCCCACTCCTAGACCCTTAGTGTTGATGGCTTATCCCGTAAAGAGGGTAGTAGAGCCGGTCTAATCCTCACCACCCAAGAGGGTGAGTACTTCAAGTATGCCCTCCGTTTCCTATTCGACGAGAGCAATAATGAGGCCGAGTATGAGGCCTTGATAGCAGGTCTTCAACTGGCCCGAGACATTGGCATAAGCCATATCTAAGTATTCAGTGATTCCCAACTAATTGTCGGACAGATTACTGGGGAGTTCGATGCAAAGGAGGAAACGA